CTTTAAGCACATAATTTCAATTGTTGTACATAACACAAAGGGATTAACTTTGATTTTGACATATGATTTGCGGGTGTGAGAGAGCTCTATGTGTGCGTGTGCAGCTGTGGCTATAAAAACAATTGCATGCCTGGATTTGTTGTTTGGCTTTATATGCCTGGCAGCCAGTGTAAATTACCAAAGCGAAATGCATGAAAAGCGCTTGAAAAGCTCCAAATGCTTCAGCTGCACGCAGAGTCTTGGGCTCGGGCTTGCGGTTTCTGGCCACTGAGCAGAAACACACAAAGATATTTTCGTTTGGGCAGCAAAAAATGCTCCTCGTATGCAACATTTCTATGGACTTTGCCTCTGCATAACCAAATGCAATTAAGGCACAGTTTAGCCGACTTACACGACGCTCCAAAGGCAGTCGAAAATTGAGTAAGCTCAAATTGAATTGAATCAAAAGAAAGAATGCAAAACAATTTTCCTTGACTTTTTCCTTTCTTTTCGTATTGAAAGTGTTTAAGCAGAAAAGGAAATGCTTATTTATATGCGTTGCAAAGTGGGGTATTAAGGGGAATTATTGTTTAGAATTAAGGCTGTGTAACAGGTTGAAAAGAATATTAAATATATGCTTAGATTTTATTGATAGGCTATACAATCGATGAAAGTAAACAATAAGCGATGATTTAGAATTCAGGAAGATCAATAATTGATGGGGTTCTCGTGAGTCTCTTGTATATTCTAGTAGATATGTTATGGCTCTCTCGCGTTATCTCTTTCTTTCTCTCTCTCTGTTTCCCTCTCTTTGTGATTCCATCTGAGTCACATCTCTCTGCATATAAATCTATTTGTCCCTAACCCTTTTTTTTTTTGTTTAACAACTGCTTAATTTAGATAAATATCGATAAAAATCGATGTTAGGCATATACTACATTCTTGTATATACTTTATCACTATGTATACCATCAATAGCTATTTTACACTTTTTGTCCATTATTCTCTCTAAATTTGATGCTGAAAACCCTACACGCTATCAACTTAAAGTTCCAAATATTTATACTTGTATTCCCTACTATAAATATTCAAATCTCTTTCTCGTCATATCTCGAAAACTTTCAAATCTATAGTCTTAATGTTCTGAGTATATACTTCTTATAGCTTAAGTTGACAAAGGGTAAAGTCTTCGTTTAATATCTCTTTTCATATAATTTATATTATATTGATTTCATTTTATCTCGAAAACTATAGCAGTAAAATATAATATGTTTGGTATGGGAATGCTATGAATGTATATATAAATTTTAAACATTATACTTTTTGCATGCCAACCCTTTGCTAACAAATAATACCTGCTAAGCACTAGATTACTCGAGGAAAACTAGTCAGCTGATGGTGATCTCAGCTTATCCCCAACTCTGACACTGGCAGCCACAAGCCACTTTTGCTTCTTTATTTATTTAATTCGTGTAACCCACATCCCTTTTAACTGCTCCCAAAAAAGCGCCGAGTTTAAAGAGTGTTACCACACTCATATAATATTATAATTTAATTCCATTTTTTTGTTGGCCCCGCAACTATGGCAACATTGTCCGCAGCAGCTGCTGCTGCTGTTGCTGCTGCAGTGTCATATATATTTAATTATTAATATAATTAATATTTTTTTGCTTGCACAAGCGAACTGTAAATAATTTATGCAACCAAAAATTGCATTGGCATAAAAAAGCATTAAAACTAAGAGCAATTAAAAAGCCCAATTAAATGTGAATTTTTAAATATGTGAGAAACAAAACAAACTCTTGAAGCAGTTGCAAAACGCTTTGATAAAATCTTTTTTGTTTTGATTTTGGAAAAATGAAACCGTAAAACAAAAACGAAACAATTTCCATGAACTTTGAAGGCATCTAATTGACTTTGAAGCGATTTTACGGCGATTAACTCGAATGTATCTCACAGAAACATGATGCCCAACTGCTGAACATGTATATATATTTCTATATATGTATATGTATCTGCTCTTACTTAACTTCATTTAAAGTTTTGAGCAGCTGCTTAAATTTTTGCCGCGCCCGAAGAGCAGAGCAGCAGCAGCAGCGGCGGCAAAGGCAGAGGCAGAGCCAGCTTATGTGCTAAATTTAAAACCTGCATGCCATTTACCAACAGACACACACAAATACACACACGTACACACACACACACACACACTCACACATACATGCATGTAAAAGCAACTTACATATGTTATTATCGCACAAACTCGCAAATTTTCGCCAGAGCGCAACGGCTCCCAAATGTATGCTACGTTTTTCAGCATTTTTCTTGCTGCGCTGCCTCTGCCGCCGCGCTGCCCCCAATGGACGCTCATACTTAAACATATTTATGCTAGTGGCAGGACTCGTTGGCTGCCGTTGCTGCTGCTGTTTGTTTTGCAGCTCGTTGACATTTGATGTCACTGTGTCAGCGGCATAAAAAATTAAAAGTATTAAAATGATGCTGAAATCCCAGGCTCCGCTGCCCAAGCCCTGATCCAAGCAGAAGTTTAGTAGTGACTGTAATAGAGAGAGACAGAGAGAGAGAGAGAGAGAGAGAGAGAGCGAGAACAGCTGAGCAAATCGCTGGCATAATATGCGTAATAAAAACTTGCGGTCGGCCTTTCTTGCCTTCAGTTTGACCTTTTCCATGGCAACTTTCCACTGTTGCCGGCCATGAGAAGGGACAGTTTGTTCTGTTGTTGTCGCTGTTGTTTGTGCGTTCCCAGTTGCTGCTTGTTATACTCTAAAGTAAGTGAGCTCTTTTACTCTGACATCATTTAACATGACAAGCAACTGAGAGCGCGCTACCCTAGGCAGTTGCCGACTTGCAAATGTCTAATGTCATATAAAACTCACAAAACTCTAACAAAAGTTAAATGGGTTTTATAAAAAAAAAAAAGAAATATAAAATCATTTTAATTAAGCTACCTTTCGCGTCACGTATTATTTCTTCAACATATATAAAAATATTTTTTATTTATTATTAAGAGTTTTAAAATGTATAATTAACAAAATGAATGTCAAAACTTTAATAAAAATTGACTTAAAGCATTTTTCTATATTTATTTAATATTTCATTTTGACCTTAGAAGAACTTAGAACTTGAAATAATCCACAATAAATATCACCTATTTGCTATACTCTAAAAAATTCATAGAAAATTTTGTTTCTTAGTTTGAAATTTCTTTCAAATATCTTACGTATCATCTATACTCTATTTTGTAGTATTATATATACAAATCTTTTATGTATTCAACACCAAAAGGAGAACTGCACAGCCCTGGTTCATGTTTCACTCTTGAAGCGTAACAAAAATTCGTTTTAGGCAAAAGCTGGAATTTTTGAAATTTTTAGGTTTTTTAAAGTCTTAACTCACCGCTTCGGGGCATAGACGGGGGTCAAGCAGCTAGGCAGTCAGTCAGTTAGGCACTCAGGCTATGAGGCGCCCGCATTGGGGCAACTGGCGGTCTGTGCGTGACAGACGTTGTTCTGCCTGTCACACGCTGCCCGCCAGTTTGCTTTGTTTTACGCGTAATCTGTCTGTCTCACTCTAGCTTGCTGTGCTCTTCTGTTGTACCTGCTGGCAATGGGCATTACGTCTGACTGTCTCACGGCCTCTCTCTCTGTCTGTCTGTTTGTCTCTCTGTCAGCCAACAAGTTAGTCATTTGCTGTATCAAAAATAAAACGCAAATAAAAAACTGTTACGACATATTTATCTTTTCTGGCGCAACTCTCGACCGTTCTGCCTGCTCGACTTTCTGTGGGTGAGATGTTTGTGCGTGTGTATTTGAGCAGAAATAAATTTGAAGGTGCATAAAAGAAGAAGCAGCAGGCGTACACACACACATCACTCACGCGTGCAGTCAACTGTGTGATGTATCGTTTGGTTTCACATGGTCAGCCCAAATGTTGCAAAAGTCTGATTCGATTTGTCACCATCAACATAATGAAAAACAATCAGTAAAATGCCAGACGGCAATTGTAGATTGATATTGATTTAGCTGAGCAAAGTTGCGCAGACAGCCTATGACAGCACCTGCCGATGATTAGGTAAACACTTTGAGAATCACCGAGAGAGGAGGCAAAGGAAGCAAACACAATTCAATGGTTTCAAAAACTATTTAATGCATTCAAATTGGCAGCAAAAATTAAGTAAATAGCAGCAAGTGAGGAAAAACACTTTCAAATAAATATGTAAAAGCATTGCATCAATATTAACTAATTAGAAGTAAATAAATAAAACAGCAGATTTAAAAATATACAGAAAAGCAAAAGTACAAAATAAATAAATATGAAATGTCAACAAAATGTATTTAAATTTTACGACAGTTAACATCCGAGTAAATATATTGATATAGAACTGTATAAACAAGTAAACAGACTGCTCTCTTTAAGGACTCAAGTATGAGCTAAACTGAGGCGAATCAGTTCTTGAATTACTTGCATTTTCTTAAGAAAGTTTTCAGAGCTTTAAAATTATTTTTCATTTTTTAAATTTGGCAAAGCACAGCATCGACTGCTATCGAAAAAGAATATGGAATTAGCTATCGAATAATGAACAATATCTGCCACGCCTTTTTTGCCTTTTACATGCATCGAATTCCCATTTTCAATGGGTTCAGACTTTATCCCAGGCTGAATTAATTATGCTTAGCCTAAACTCACGCAGACCCAATGGAAGTCTGTTTAGCTGTCATGAGAATTGCACAGAAAGGTCGTGTTAAAAAAACTCCGTTCAAATTGTATTTACAAGTTTATTCGCTGTCATTTAGAGTATCTTAAGTGTTTTTGTCTCAAGCTGTTGTCACATGATTAGCACCATATAAAAATGTATCCAGTAAAGAAGCTCCATCTTTGTCCGACTTGCTTTATTGCTTTAATTCGCATTAAATTACAGTTAAGTTTGTTCTTATCGCTCTCGTTCTCTATATCTGCTTCCTCTCTCCCTCTCTCTCTGTCATTTTTTGAAGCTCTCCTTTCTTTTATCAGCATTTTCTAGTACCGCCCTCGCTGCTTACGGCTTGGGCTGGCGCTGTTCCAAGTAGCGTGGCCCAAAGTAGTGGGTGCGTTGGTATTGAATGCTTCTTTGCTCTGCTTCTGCTTTATTAACCTGAATCTTGACCTTCGGCAATACAAACTGCTCATAATACTCATCTACAGAGGGAAAAGCGTCACACACATATATAGATTAGCTTATCTATAGAGCCCTTACCAAGTGTTAGTTCCATAATATTTGTATTGAACATATAGCAGGAGTTTTGCATGCCTCGATTGGTGTTCGGAGCGGCTGCATCAGCGCGCACATGCTGCTCATAATATTCATCTGTGGAGGAGACTCAATGAGTACATATAGCTTATGTAGAGAGAGGATTCCTGTTTGCCTAGCGTTAATTCGAGTTTCTTAGAGTTTAACACTTTTAACTGCTCAGCACTTGATTGTTCAGCCATTGGAAAGCCTTTTCAACTTTCTCAACAAATTTCAATTGAACTTTTTCTCTCTATCTCAAGTTTTAAATGCGTTTGACGTTTAATACTTGAAAGACTTGATTTGAGTTTTCTAAAGTTGTTGCTGAGGAGTGCGGAGTCAATAATATATCGATATCGATAGTCAAATAGAATATAGAATATAGAATATAGAATATAGAATATAGAGTATAGAATATAGAATATAGAATATAGAATATAGAATATAGAATATAGAATATAGAATATAGAATATAGAATATAGAATATAGAATATAGAATATAGAATATAGAATATAGAATATAGCCGTTATATATAATATATCCCATTATTTTCTAGAGAAAACGAATGATTCTTCACAGTGCATTAAACTTGGCTTTTAGTCTAAGCTTTTAGTATATGCTTTTAGTCAAGGCTTTTAGTCTACCAAAATCCTTGACTAAAGCACATGTTTCAATTCCTAAGAACTTGGAGCTTAGGCAACATATATTTTACTTATCCCAAATTCTAAGCTGACTTAAATAACTCGAGCGCATGCCTTGACTAGGGACTCTCAACTCTCTTTCCGTAGTAGTGCCTATCAGTAAAGGAATGTGAGTATATATATATATACATTTTTTCGGGGGTCTCTACTTTTATGGCGCCTCGTAATGTGCGCAGAGGTACCCAAACCATCGAAGCCTTAAAGCTCAACAATCGTGCTAATGGGCCGTACTCGTCGACGTCGTCCTTGTCAGAGTTCTAGCAGTTGTCGCCCGTCGTCGTCGACGTCGACGTCGACTTCGTCTGGTGTGCCAAAGTTTTTATTTGTTATTATATACTTTGGCGTGTCAAATAAACATCACACATCTACGTACATGAAACATGTTTTATATGCCAGCGCTCTATGAACGTCCTCTATGTGTGTGCTGACGTGTGTACGTGTGTGTGTGAGTGTGTGTGTGTGAGTGTGTGTGTGTGTGTGTGAGTGTGTGTGTGTGTGTGCGAGCTTCTACGTGCTGTGGTTGCGCACTTTTTTTGTGTTCAAGTTTGAGGCATTTGAATGCGAGCATGTAAGAGTATATGTATGTATGTGTGTGTGTGTGTGTTTGCGTGTGTGGGTATTGGAGTGTGAGTGCTGTAGCTCGTGTGTGACTGCGACTCATTTGCATGAATTGTCGCAAGCTTTTAGGTGAACTTCACCCTAAGTCGAGCTGAGGAGTTGCTCATAAGGCGACAATGTGTGAGCACAGTGGTATGCAAGTGCATAAACTAGAAATGAAAATTGGTTTTTAATAAGTTTTTAATGCAATTATAAAATTATTCGAGGTAGTCTTAAACATAAGTCTCGAATTGATGTATTCTATCTTAAAACATTTTTTATTGCATTATAAAATGCATTGATATATTTTTAGTAGCATAAAACATTTGTTAATTTTAAGTTTTTTTTGCTAATAATTTTTTATGTGTCCATATTTAATAGTTATATTTACAGTTATATCTAAAATTTTATATCGTTATATCTAAAATTTTGAATTTTTTTTTTAATGTTTAGTCTTACTCGTTTTTATTTTAGTTTTACTTTATTTATTTTTTTATTTTATATAAAAAAGATAATTAGGATTTCATGAAAATTTTATTTCATTTATTTATTTTGTAATGAATTATTTTATGTTTATATAAATATATTTTAAGCTTGTCACTTTCTTAGTTTAGTAATTATTTAATTTATTTATTTTTTTTTTTGCTTTTTAACAGTTTTTCTACATATATTTATTTCAATATATGTTTTCTGTTTATAAGCAAATCGATTTTGTACCACTGTGCTATTGAGTTGCGACTTTTAATGGTGCTCTCATGGCATCGGGAAGGGAATACCGTTAATTTTATGCCATTTTATTCACCCTAACGTGCGATTTATGCTAAGCAGTGACAAATAAATAAATGCCTAGACCGAAGGTGTCTGCCAGAGCTCGCCTAATGAGCGTCTTCATATATCATGCGTCATGCTTCATTTATTTGCAAACAAACAGCAATAGGTATATTTGCAAATCCACCAAACTATTTCCAACTATTAACTATATTTATTTTCAATGTTTTTATTTTCTTGAATGTTCAATTTGTTTTGGGCAGCCATTGAGAAATTGTTAAACTGTTGCCCTACTGTGTTTATTTGATATTTCAGACAAAATATTGCAATTTTTCGAATATTTGCATTCATATTTTTTGCTTCCTCTCTCGCTCGCTCTCTTCTTCTTCGTTTTTGTTTGCTAATTTTTTTATGGGGCTTTTAGTTTGTGTGAGCTTTGCCGACTAAGTGCTGGTCCTTTGCAAATGCATTCCCTTACAACTTTTATGACGCTGACAGTTTTTGCTTCTGTTTTATTTCGAATTTTTTTAAATTTAAACAACAAAAAAAAAAAACATTTTAGTAAATTTTCAAATTCTTAGTAGCGTTTTAATATTTTATTAAGGATGGTCTTTTACAATTTGAGCTGAGCTGCCGACAAGCTTATTTATTCGTGCATTTATTGACACAAAGCAAGAGATGTTGTTCATATTTTTTTTATATATTCTTTTTGCTTAGTTTGCCTTTATTTTATGTAAATAAATATTTGAGTTTATGATGAACAAAGCGAGTTACAGCAATATTTATTTTGATAACAGGGAAAGGCACTAGAAAATCACTTCTGATATGCCAAGAATATCTCAAGCAAATAATATTTTAATCAAATTGTTTGTATCTGCAAAAATATGTGTAAGTATTTTGACAAATTTCAATGCAATATTGCAGTTATATTTACTTCAAGTGGATCTTAACTAAACTCCTTTTCATCTGCTTTCTCACATGCCCTTGCCCACAAGATAAAGCACTTAAAATAACTCTAAGTCATGGCCCAAAAATACTAAGCGTATTAAGCTGTTAACTAACTTTTCTTCTATCCTTTCCCTCAGCATGCACCTGTACCTAGCGCTGATCTCGTGCCTCGTCTGCACCGCACACTGCTGGCAGTTCGATGGTGGGGGCGCTGCTGCTGCGGGTCAAAGGTTGCAGCGCAATGCCAGGAATACGGCGCGAGCCTTGGCACGTGGTCCACCGCCGGCGCGAGGATCAGCTGCGCTGCTTGGCAGCCAGCAGCAGGATGTGCTCTATGCGTGTCCACTCAACTCGATGTGCCAGTGCGCTGGATTGCCCAACGAGACGTCCACGCTGATTGAGATTAATTGCAACGAGGTGGCGCTGTACAAGTTTCCAGGTAAGATATATAGGTATAAGTATATGTATATATATATATATATTTATATATGTATTGAAGTTATTCAGCTGCTGTCAATGTGTGCTGGACCAGCAGCTGCGGCTACATTCAACTTGTCTCGCTTTTATTTATGTGGCAAATATTTTTGTTGCCAACTCGGGCGACAATGAAACTTGCCACTAGCTGCTTTACTCTCTGTCCACCCCGCTCTACCTCGCATTCTCCTTCGCTTTCCCTCTGTTGCCTGGAGCGCAATGTAATTTTTTAATGAAGCTTCAAACGGCTTTGTCCTGCCTGCTTGGCTGGCTGCTTGGCTGCCTGCCGTTGCTGTGTTACCCACAACAAAATTAAATCTTACATTTAAGTTTGCCAATTAGTTGTAAAAATAAAGTTTTCTTCTTCATTCGCTGGGCTGTTTTTGTTTTTTTCTTTTTTTTCTCGGGCTATGGCTCTTCTATAAAGTTTTTTAACGATTGCTGTGGCAAAAATTCAACGCTAATTTTGTAGTTTTTAAGTAATGAATGGCAAGTTTTGTGCTCCATTGTCATTTCGTTAGCATTGCGCATTCGTTACCCCAAAAAACTCTCTGAACTGCCCTCGCTCCCACCCGCCAACCTCTCTCTCTCACTCGCCCTGTTGTGCCGCAAAAATATTGCCATTAGCTACAGTGCTGCAAAATGCAAACAACGGGCCACGCCTGCCGCCCTTTTTCATGGCAAGTTGCGGCATAAAGTTGCAAATACTCCCAAAAACTGTTGACTACCAAAACACACACAACACCACTTACACACACACACTTACACACACATTGACAGACAGTCCAGGCAAATGTCAGATATGAACGCTCGAGCCACTGAAAAGTTTTCTTGGCTTCCAATTGCGCTGGCTCTTTTAGGGGGTTGGGGCTGTTGCTTGGCAGGCAGGAGTGTGCGGCAAGTGTGCTGCCTGTTGCTACGCCCACTGCCTGGCCTGCTCTGCTATTGCTGTTTTCCGCATTGCCAATTAATCTATCAAAATATTCGACGTATTTCGAAAATTTACTTTTTCTACTGCGACTTTGGCTGCTTATCCAGGTTATTTGTTATAACAGATGTAGACTTAATGAATTGTATATGTATATATATACATATATGTATATACATATATAAATGCATTGCAATTCAAAAGAATTTTGATTGATTTTAAAGCCTTAATCTCTGAAAATTAATAAGTCTAACTGTAGAACAGGTAAATAGTAATCTAACTAAAAAACTTGTTCATCTTAGCTCTGATAACGAGGCAGTTTTAGTTTCATTTGCCATTTGCCACGACTTCCAAGAAGTTGTCAACTTCTAGAGCAGCTCAACAATAATTCAGCTGTTAAATTCATGGTTTTCACTTATCAAACTGTTAAAGAAATGAATTAACCCTAGCTTTTTTTATATATATAATTGATGCTTAACCTTTAGAGCAGCTCAACAGTTAATAAGTTGATACATTTAGGGGTTTGAGCTATAGAAAAAAGTAATGCTTGCTTCACACACTCAAAGGGAATTAATTTGATTTGTTAATCTATATACCACATTCAAGTCTATAAAAAGGATGTTCAAAAAAAGCAACAGCAAGAGAATTTACAGTAAATCTATAATATTTAAAAAAAGTTACTGGAGTTCTGGTTTTGAAATGTTTAAGCTTCATCCAAGGCTTTATGTAGGGGATCACGCATTTCTCAGTTCTCAAAGCTCTGAATGTTGCCTTGACATCAGTCAAACATAGACAGAGATGGAACATCAGACAGGCAGAGAAAGAGAGAGAGAGAGAGATAGAAAGAGAGAAAGAGAGAGACACAGTCAGACAGACTTTTTCACTTGATTAACAGGAATTTGATTTCATTAGAAAGCAACTTTAATAAATAAGAAACAATGTAATTTTGTCAAATACAAAAAAATTTGTTATCTATAATTAACGATAACAAAGCAGAGCAGAGCTTAAAGTGAGCCAAAGTAAATTTTGTTGCATTTAGATTAAATTCCAGTCGACATATTTGAAATGCTTACGCAGTTCAAGAAATTCCACTGGCATTTCTGTGAGCATGAAATTCATGAAATTTTTATTCAAATAATAATGTTTTATTCAATATGATTTGGCGCGTTTGTGCAGACAGTTGCAGAGCTCTGGCCCGGCTGTTGATTAGCTTGGCTAACAAATCTTTTGCCCCAGGGGCAAACGGGCGTTACAACTATTGCAATTACAATCTGCTCGCTTATATATATATATATAAATGTGTGTGTGTGAGTGGATATATATTCAAACAAATGTCTCACTTGAATGCAATTTATGTCTTGCATTGGAAGAAACTGCAGCAAATGCACAAAACTTTTGCCAATTAGCAATTCTAATGTGGAAAAAACGAGCTGATGCGGGGGCGGAGACGGTTGGGGGCGCTGCCAAAAAACACTTTGCTTGACAGTCTGGCTAATTGCGTGCCACGCCCGCAAAAGCCGCCGTCCAGTGCCCACAGCTGGACATTGTGCTGTGGCTAGGTTTGCTTTTGGCCACAGCAACCACTGGCATGCCGGGCCAGGTCTGTCCTGTCTGTCCCGGCTGTCCAGGCTGTCCCGTCCTGTCTGTCTGCCTGTCTTTGGCCTGCTCTGTCCTGTCCTGGCCTTGCCCGGCCCGGCCAGCACACATCAGATGTTGCATACTTTTCAGCGCACAAAAATATGCAACCAGCAGCTGCAGCAGCGGGCGGCATTCGCAATGACGATGACAACGACTTGAAATTCATTAAAAATTCCAAAATTTGTGTTGCCAAAAATATGTGACAGCAGCAACAGCAACAGCAGCAGCCACAGCAAAACATTCGAATATGCCTTGACGTTTGCAGCACAAATAAAATAAAAATTAGATAGAAGAAAAGTTATTTGAATTGTGCAGAGCATATAAAATACTCTGTCAGACATGTTAAATATGCTCTCAAAACTAAAGGTAAATATACCTTTATATATGTATATTTATATAACTGTAAATATATATATATACTTATGTATACCTATTCATATTCACCTATAGTTAGCTGTATGTACACAAATGTAGCTTAGACTTCATTTCATATATGCAAGCTCTTTGGGCTGCAGCAGCCTATACAATTCAATGTTTTTAATATAAATATAATAATATAATAATACAATGGAATTTGAAACTTAAAGACACAATAATCTGCTTGCAGGCTGAGGAACTCATCTAGAATAGTTTAAAATTGCTTTCATGACAGATCTTATCACAGCTGCTCTGCTCATACATATTGAATGCTCTCAGAGCAGAGCCAATGCTACGTCAAGTCTCATTTGACTTGCAATTCTGGTCAGCGATTGGCTGTAGAAGTCTTTTTAAGCGCTGTATGACGGGCGCATCTATGAAGCATACTGAGATATATTTGTCTCTCTCTCTCTAACACACTTTCGCTATGTGCTGCGCAGCATAGGCATAGCTGTGTGTTAAAGTGAGAGAACTCTAGTTATATAATGTGTATATGCGTGTGTGTGTTTGTGTTTGCATAAGTTGACAGCGGCATGATCACTGCAATTGTGGCTTGTCAATGTCAGTCTGCAAGTGCTTTAAGGGTACGACTCATACAGATAGTAGCAGCAGGAAATATATAAAAGCTGAAAGACAGATATATATATACAATTAATATGAAGTAAAGCTAATTTGTCTTGATTTTACAGAACTAACCTAAGGTTGGAATATCTAAAAAAAAAATATATATATATAAATATATATATATTTATATATTCTTTTTTTTCAGAATTTCTAACATTAAGTAAATTCTATAAAAAGATAAATTAATTTAACTCCAGAATAATAACTTCTGAACTTCTTCAGTTCATTCACAGTGAAATGCTTGGAATATTTTAAATACAAGAGACCTGTTTCTTAACCAACTATGGACAGATTATTGCGAAAAGTGTAAAAAGACATAGCTATAGATGCTACAGTTGCTAAATGCAGCAGGCTGACTACAAAGTACATTAGCAATTTAACACTCTAAGACTAGCTAGAAGCAAGCAAGTTTACAAAGTGATCAGCTTTACTCGACTGCCGCATAGTGCCTCATGGCAACGGCAACCGCAACTCTCATTAGCAACTCGCAACTCTTTGAGCTGAGACTCAGTTCAGTTATGCAACCTTTTGTTAGACGCGTGCCACAAAACATCAAAAGTGAACTAAGCGAGCACAAAATTTGTCATGTTGTAAGCTGGCAAGCCGCTTACGACATAGAGCGGCTTAAAAGTCAATGAGTCAATGAGTCAATGAGTCAATGAGTCAATGAGTCACACTGTGAATGTAGCCAACAAATATGACACTATTTCTGTACATTTCGTATTCAAAATATTTATGCCTTTGGGCCATCAATAGGAGCGTAAGCACAAAATATGTTTGCCAATTTCGAAGCGCAAAATTTAAAGTGCAAATTGTTTTGTGCTCGGGTCGTAAATGATATTTAAGCCACAAATGTGCAATTTCGATTTATTTTTAATGTTTTCTGGTCATTTTCACGCTTGGCCAGTGTTGCTGATGCGCCCCCAGGGCAGCTGCTACACACATGCAGCAGGCAGCAGCAGCAGCATTCGCTTCATATTCAATTCGGCCACAATTTTCATGTTGAAACTATTTCTTAACAGTAGCCAGGCCAGGCCTGGCTCGGCTAGGCAGGCAGTCAGCTTACACAAGCTGCTGCACGTTTCCTGCTGCTGACATCCTCCAACTCCAGCCTCGCAGGACACACAAAACTATATGGATATAAATGAAGCCCACACACTCGCTTCTTATGCTTGGCCGCCTTGCCTCAATAAATGCCTCGACCAAAACAATAACTTTTCAGCTGACGTAATCTTCATCAGCACATACGTTCATAGGTCAAAAGCTAAGAGGGGCAGAGGCAGAGGCAGAGGCAGTGGCAGAGACTGTCCCACCCGCATGGGCAGCCTATGGAAATTGAAAGTGTTCTGGCTGCGATA